GGGCCCCCCCCCCCCCCCCCCCCCCCCCCCCTCCCCCGTCACACTCCTCGGGAATCGGGAAAGCTTGATGGCGCATGTCGGGGCAATAAACTTATACGGTACTCTGTATTTTACTTAAGGGAGGGTACAGAGATGGAGCATTTACTTTCTCAAACTATCTCAATGAAGACGTTTGTGGAGAGAGGTCAAGGTTGAATTTTGATGAACATTGAACGTCATCAGTCAGGAATGTCCAAGGACGGCACGTCCATTATTAACCTCACCCTTCATCCTTCACCCTTCACCATCAACCAACCGCGAAAAGAAAGATAAATTAATAGAAAGCGCGTGTAAGCGGGCTCTACAAGCTCATATCTTTCTTTCAGTTAGGGCATCTTGCAAAGCCCAAGTAAGGAGATTTCCTCTAAATTTTCTTACCAAAATGTAAAAATGTGCCTTTTTTCCCTATTTAGGGGGAAAGGCACATTTTGTAAAAAAAAAAAAAAAAATGAGATACTGTTTTCGTCAGGTAGAGGAACTTCAAATTTGAAATGATTCGGTGCCTAGAGGACCACGTCGAAAAGAGAAAAAAAAACCTATGTTAGCATAATCATTAGGAAACTTCATGAAATTTCGTCCTTCGTATGTAAGGGGAATGGGAAGATGGTCGCTCCCCGAATTCCATATAATCGTCTACATACCTTGAAATAATTTATATTAATTTTTATTCTTATCCTACGTGAAGGCGTTCAAAATTACTTACCCAATATTTTCTTCGAACTTGAAAATTCAACAAGGGAAATTACGTACGGGGGAAACAGAATCAAACCGTCTTTTCTCCTTCAAATGCACCCAATAAGAAGCAATACCCAAAGGGCACGACGGATTACTTTCCATACACCTCCCCCCCCCCTCCCCCCGGGTCGGGGTCGCCGAGCTCTGCCGCGGGGCAGACGAGGCGCCGCACGTTTCGACCTAGAACTACAGACCTCTCTTCGGTGCAGCCGCATGGCTAGCTGCAACAAGTTGCATCCCTCGTCGTTCCGCAGCAACCGGAGTCCCAAAGATCTTTCAAAGCCTTTTCATTCGTTGCTCTTTGTGTGCGTGACCAAGAGCTCTTCTCGGCAGACGGATGAAGGAGCCACCGTTCACGACATTTGGGCAAGTCATCATTTTCTTTTAATTAGCCCTGTGCTCCTGTATGCCTCACGATTCTCCCACATTTAACTACAGAAACTTGTAAGAAACTCGTATTTTTGTCGGAAAAAAAAATCCAGCAGAAACCGAAAGATATACGATTCAAGGGCTTTTCGGAGTTAGTCTTTTATAATTGGGTGCGTATTTTGTGACAGGAAATGCTCGTTATTGTTGAAATAGTGGTTGCATTGGTTTTTACTAAGAATTTTGTGAATGTGAAACGCCTCAGTGAGACGTGCCGAACGAGTTCACTTCGCGTTATGCCTGTTCGCCAGGCATCTGAAATGTATGCAGCGTAAAAGGCCTAAGTCATATACATGTATGAACTTATCGACTGACTGGTGCATATATTTGCGGAGAGTTTTTAAACTCACCATTACTGCATGGAGACTGCATAGACTGGAGAGAGCGTAATTCTTCTCTTGTGAAAATCAATAGAGCAATTTAGACAATCGTCATGAGGCTAACCTCTCATTCGTCCTACTTCGAGGCATTCCCTTCAATCCATTATTCAGAGCTACAATTAGGACTTGTCCCATATTTATGAATTTCCGTCGATTATAAGATCGTAGCAAAGCATGACTAAGAAGCTTGGGCATTGAGGAAGGAAATAAAAGAAAAAGGATGTAATATAGAAATTTTCATTCTACTTTGATTAATTTGTAATTCTCTTCTCATTCTATTGACTGGTTGTTTCGGTCTTCTCTGCCATAAGAGGTTATCCCGCGAGTTGGAGATGTGGAGAGGCAATCAATTATCTTTGTCGAAGTTGCTCCTTCATCGCACGACACATTTCACGTCACGTCTCGATAAACTCCAGCTAAAACCAGCCGTTCTTAAGGCTAGGATTGCTGCTGCAGAGGAGGGAGATATCTTCGGGATGACAAATTTGAAATTCTCATATCGTGATCCTCCTAGCAAAATCGACCTTAAGGTCGGAAAGAATTTAAAGTACCGCCCCGATTAATTCGGATTCAAACTGTGAATGATTACCCTGAGACGATTCACCACAAGCATCAGAATGTGATTTTGAATTTACCAGGGATAGGTCGAGATTGGGATCCGAAGTAATCATGTTGAGGGTCACTGGGACGAGCTGGAGCCTTGGTGCTCCTCTTCTTGTTCAGCAGCGCCTGATAGAGTTGCTCCGGGTCCAGGGACCCCAGCAGCGGGAAGACGAGGGACGTGGACGTCCCCTTCCCCGTCCCCGTCGAATCCCCTCCTCTTCCTCTATCACGACCACCGGGAACTCATTTCGCCGTGCCCAATCGTTTCAACTACTCAGACCCGTAACCAGGGATGGATCGATGGAGGGAGGATGGGTGGGGGTGCCGCAGACAATAGGTAAATGAAGTTTATAGTACCCAATTTCCATTTCCCCCATATTAGTATGCGTAGGAGTAAGACCGTTGCTCGTATTAATGAATTGCCCTCGTGCTTATCCAAGTCAAGAGTGAGCAAGAGCGGAACCTCTTACTCTGAATGCCTCTCTGGATAGTAGCGGAAGCGTGAATGGGAGAACGAGAGAGTAGTTTTGCATTATATGGCAATCGGGCAATCCCGTTGAGGTACATTTCGCACGACTTGTGCTTTTGAAATTTGTACGACATGGGCGAGCTTAAGATTTTAATGGAGGGTATCATAGGGAGGAACCTAAATTCAGTTTCGCGCAGGGGGTTCGAGATTAATTGGCTTAATTTGGCTACTCTGCGCATCTAACACGGTGTATGCACGATTTCACCCTTTTCCGCCAAAGCAGACGGGTTGGGCATCCATCTTTCTTTGACGATACGAGTCGAAGTGTAACGTCACGGGTTCTCAAGTTAACAAGCATGCGCGTGATACATTCGTGTTCTCGCGGTGTCTTCTCACTTTCTGGCGACAGGAAACGCCATTCATGGCAAACGAAACGGCCTTGTTCCTAAAACCCGATAATTGACTTCGATGGAATTGAAACAGCTGCTTCTGATGAACCTGGGTTGCACTGCATTTTTCATCCGACCTCTTATCCTTCGTCACGCCACGGCATGAAACATTCCCCGAAAACTGCATCGTCAGGTTCCTGCGGTTCCATAAATTTATCGTTCTCCTAATTAATGGTCACATGGTACACGGAACGCAATCTGCGCTTCCGTCGATTCTACCTCGCAGAACGAACCATCTCGCACCTGATGCATGGCTACTCTTCCAAGTTCTGTCATGGAAAGAACGGCTGAAAACTTAGAGAAATGAGCAACGGTGCGGGATCGAGAGAAGGCTGGGAGGAGCCTCCTCTCCTCCCATCCCGCCCCAATTTTTCGCAAATTGAGTCACCGTCATGCGTTTGCATGAGTGCGATTCGTGAATACGCACCCGCGTTTACGAGGCCTCTCCCTTCTCGTCGGTAGTCATTAGTGCAGGTACGATTGCGCCGAGAAAGCTGGACTTTCAAACTTCGAACAATTATTATACCCTCCCTTGTATGACAACAAAAAGCGTTATAATTAAATTCTAAAAATAAGCCGAGCATACCCGTAGTATACTGTAGATTGGAAGAAATACTTTGTATATTTAAATGAAATTAAATTTAATTTAATTTAATATAATTTCGAACCACTCTTCAAATGTCAAAATGCTCAGGGGGATATTAAAATGACCAAGATATAATGGAAATGGGGATGGGTGGGGTTGGGAGAGGGCATCCTCTGGTTAGGGCTGGAATTACTCCGATTCTATCACTGATTTTACCTGAAGCCGGTCGTTCCGGGCTTCTTGGAGAAGAGATTGAGGTGGAGAATCACATGATGCTTGTTGTTGTCATCGACGTACTCCTCGCCGTACTGGGTGTAGTAGTAACCGCGGTTCGACTCCGACGGGTAGTAATTCTTGAAAGAGCTCCCATAAACTCCCTTATCCATGGGATAGATGTCCATCATGATCTCGAAGGGATTCTTCTTGGCCGTCGACGACGACGACGGCTGCTTCTTCGGCTTGCCGCGGTGGATGGTGTCCCCGTAGAAGACGCTGTCTCCGGAGTAACCGTTGTCGCCGGTTGGTATCTCGGGACCGTAGGTGTCGAAGGGGTCGTGGGTGCCGTAGTAGTCGTCTTCTTCGCTGCTGGGCCGAGGCTTCTGTTTTGACGAGTACTTTGTGGTGTACTTGGTGCTGAAGACCGGGTATTTGTAACGATCTTGGCTATCGCGGTCGTCGTAGTTGTTGGCGTAGCGAGACGGCCGTCGCTTGTCGGTGCCGTATTCCTCGTCCTTGTTTTTGTATTCGTCCTTGAAGAAGTCCAGGATGTCCTGGATGCTCGTCGCGTCGTCCGGGTAGTCGTATAGGGGACTCTTCCGACGGTCCCGGTCGTTGTGGTGGCTGTCCCGGTCGTTGTAGTGGCTGTCCCGGTCGTTGTAGTGGGTGTAGCGGTTGAATTCTCCCTCGAAGTCTCCTTGGAGGTCCGGGTCCACGCCATCGAAACCGAAGCGTATGGGAGACACCGGGAAACGGCCCTGTCGGATCGTGGTAACGTCAGCATGATGAAGCGCTCATTAGGTATCTATCTTAGTCGTGTGGACCTCCATAAATCCTATTCTTTTTAATTGCAGTTATTATAACTCTGGTGAGGCTCACTCTGTACCGTAAATAATGCTCAGACGGACCGAGGATACTCACCTGCGGACGCAGGGGAGGGGACGGCCTGCGCCTCCTGCGGATGGGAAAGGGTGGAAGATAGCGTCTCGCTTGGGGGAGGCTCCCGGGCCTTCCGGGTGTCATCCTCCTCCAGGGACGAGGAGGGAAGGGACTCGGACGACCCATCCGTCTCATGAGGATCTCGGATTCCGCGCTGTAGGGGTCGATCCCCTCGTTTCGTCTCCCGTAGTACTGCGACACCAGGTGCGCCAACAAATCCACCTAGCGATATTTCGGCATCCTTAGGATTGTCGTTCGAGCTCGGCAATAAAAAAAAGGGAATAATTGCCTAGGTTTCGAATGCTTGCTTCATGATACTTCCCACAGACTAACAGTTTCTTGTCGGCATTGAATAAATTATGTTATGTACAGTGTCGATTCCGGTGTTCATACCTTTTTCAACTTCGTCCCAAATGGAAATTCTGAGTTTTCACGGTTAAATACTCGTAATAGCCATTTTTTTCCTGCTTGATATCGGTTCAAAAAAGTTGCAACTGAATCTCCTTTTTCGACCTATCGAAGGCAAAAGTTGAATCGCCGACGTGATGTAATTTTTCACTGCTCTCAGTGATGGAACTTCTACCGCGGACTTTCTCCATACGGGATTGTGCTTTTTCGTAATATACATGACTACTCGTGTCGCGAGTCGTGACTGGGACCGTTCATTGGAATGCGGAGATGACGAGGCGGGACGAGAGGCAGGACAAAAGCTTGCTGCAACGTCACTCGGCCATTTCGGTGGCACATGTTCCACCGCTTGATCCCTGCTCTCCTAATTAAGCGTATACGCTTCAAGGCACGCTCTTACATAGCCCACTCGCTGGGATTTTATTGTTTGTGAACGATTCTGCTTCACGGGACTGTGACCCTCTAGGATTTTTCCGAAAGTAGGATCCTGACCTCATATGGGAGCCTGACCTGTTCTTCCTTGGAAGAGTCAGAGACGGCTGTGGTATTGAGAAGGCGGACGAGGAGATCGGGTCGGCTGCGCAGGAACGCGATGAATCCCGGGTCCATTCTGCTTCGACCGGGACCCATTCCCCCGGGACCCATTCTCCTCCTGGGACCCGGGTCCTGGGGCCTCACGGGATACAGGTATCGACCCTTGTTGCTGGCCAGGGACCTGTCGGTGGTATTCTGCCTCGTGGAGGCATCGAGGACCATGTCGTAGCCTGTGGGTGGAGGCTGAGGCCGCGGTCGCGGTCGCAGTCTCGGCGTCTCCGTCTCGTTTCCGAAGTTATACCTGTGCATGAAATTGAACTCGGTTGCATCATCTCATTGCATCGGTCATTGCCCTATGGACGGAAATATTTCGCTTGCAAGTAATAACGTGGCGATAAAAATTACAATAACTGAGAACTACTATTAGGATCCATCATCTTGGGGGTTGTTGGCGCTCTTCCCACTTCTATGTTACTCATGACGTATGCGGTACATCATCTTGTAACCGATTCGTAAACGAAAGAGCTCCATCCAGCAGAGACGTGTTTGATAATGCACGTGGGGATTCGCGAAGCGTGACCAGAATTGAAATGACCACAACCGGAGAAAAATAACCCGACTCGATTCCGGTTCCTGATGGTCACGAGTGCAGAGTAAATCAGAAGGGATTTCACGCTCCGTCCCTTACGGCAGCAATGGTAATCGGCGACGTAACGGTCCAGATTCAGTGTGCACCGAGTACAATCTCAAATGCTGGACGTGGAAAACCTGCAGAAAATTAAAGCTGGCCAGATGGATGTCGGACCTACAGTATTTACAATATCTGGATGTAACGTCGAGTAAGTGAAGTGAACTTCACTTACTACTTACTAGGGCAAAACTTGCTAATGCAATATAAAGTAATTAGCAAAGTAATGAATTACTTTTCCAATACGAGATTGAACTCGAGTAATTCCTTGGCTTTCAAATATAAAGTGCCTCAAGAATGGATGGAGCACCAGCCCTACCTGTCATCTGGAGGGAGAAGGATGCCAAAGTCATCGTGAGATGCATTAAACTGATGATGGAGGCGATTGAAGTCATCCCAGGACTCGTGCTCGGGGATGACGGGGAGGAGGTCGTCGTGTGGCCCTGCCTCCGCGCCTCCGTCCGCCGTTGTCGCCGCTCCCGTCGCCTTCGTCCCCACCAGCAGGAAGGCGACGCAGGACCCCACCTGCAAGGATGCGGTGGATGCATGAATGCCTTTCGAACCCACTCGAATGCGGCGTAGATCTCGAGGAGGCAGGGGGTCGAGACCCACATCGCGCTCCATCGGTTATGTGCCGTCTGAGCGTCGAAAAAACTCGCAAGCAATTAACCTCCAAAGCATTGCATTCACTCGAGCAAAAATGCCTGTCAAAATAATGGTTTTCGTCGCGTTCTCACGGAAGGCCAGTATTCCCGAGTGACTGCGACGGTTGAGGTCGTCCGAGGCGATTCCTCATTTTTCTCCACGGCATAGAGCACGAGAGTCCCGTTCCGTTCGGATTTATCTATTTATCTGACGGCCACAACCCTTCCTCTCCGTCGTTCCACTCTTGTGGTACTCTCTCCTCGTCCAGGGTGGTTCTCTTCATAGATTTCCTCTTCACGGATACAGTTATTTGGACCGAGAAGCTCTCCGCGTAGACAGTTACTTAGAGGAGCTCATAAAAGTTCATCTCGTGAGATAGTGTCTTGCCCTCGAAACGTCAGTAACGCTTTGCACTCGAATTGACAGCTCTTCACTTTCTCATTTCTCTGATTCCCGCTTGGCACAGTTTTTTCGAATGAGTGACTCTCGAAACTCCCGGTTTAAGAATTGCTTTATTGCGACCTCGGGGATCATCTGTTCTTTTGTCTTCCGCTACTATAATGACAGTAGCAGCGGTAGAGATAACGACGATGAGAATCGGAGCGACACCGAATCAGATCGACTCGACTCCAACTTGATTAAAACTCCTCGAGAGAATGAAATTCCTGGCGCGTGTCCGTTCGGTCGAACCGATTCCCATATGAGATGAATTTAACGTGCTGTCGACGTGGTACAAGCTACCATGATCCCCCACGCATCAGTTCGCTATCGAGTCCGTCGATGCGTGCGAAGGAAAAGTCCAAGTACTGGCGATCGAGAAGGAAAGGGGAGTCGGAGAAAGGGAAGGAATCCATTGGGACTGATGGCCTCGATCCGCCTTTTGTTTTTTTCCCATTCAGAATCACCGCGGTCTCCCGGTTCGTGACCTAGAGGGCGCGTGTCCGAGGGATTTCCCCCCGACCCTCGCTTTCCCAAAACTTTTCCCGTCTGTGATTTACGCTTCTTTTCGTTTCATTTTTATACCTCGTTTAAGGCTTTTCTTCTCACGCGATTCGTAACGACTCCATCGCGTCTAAGCGTGACAGCGCGTCCATTCCAGATCGTCGGATACGCCCCAGTGACCCAGTTGAAGCAACAGCGATCGTCGGTATATAAATTAATTCAAGCCCGTCGAGTGTTTGTTATCGACTACGAAGGAACCCCCCCCCCCACGGCTCGGGGTGAGGAAGAACCCGGAAACGCGTTCCGGTCCGTTGCGCTCCGGCCACATGGAGACACACACACGCAGACCCCGTTACGACCCATCCCATCTCTTCCCTCCTGCATCTCGCGGAGAGGAGAGGACGGGAGATTCATTGTCCATGAGGCATCTCGCCGAGAATCCGTTTTGACAGGCCCACATTAAAGGGAAGAGGGAGGATTTCCTTCCTTCTCCCGTCACCTGCTTGGAGTCCCTCTTTTTCTCACGGAATGGACCGTGATTTATCGTCGGAGAATCTTGATTAAGGGCCAGCTCGAGGAAGCCCAATCTGCTCCTCGAGACCGGCGAAAACTTTCTTCCTTTCGTAAGAAGTTTGCAACGGCATGGTCTCGACCGAAATCAAATACGGCTGAGAACGTTTTCATACCATCTAAAAAAGCCATCCTAGAAACTTTGTGGGAGCGAGTTTCGCCCGAGAAATCTCCTAACGAGAGGCAGAAGGGTGTGGATATGTACGGTGCAGACGGACCATAACGAAGATGAACATGACGGCGATGACATAGATGAGCCGCCGGGAAGGCGGGGGATTGCTCTGCTGCTGCGGCCGCTGATTGTGGCGATGCTGATGCTGATGCTGACGCTGGTGGTGCCGAGCGGTCGGTTTCCGTACGATCACCTCGTCGGCGGCCTCCTCGTTGGCTGGCAGGGCCTTCTCCCGTTTAACCCATCGCGACATCCGCGAATATCCTCCGCCCTATGGGAGCAAGGTACGAAAATAATATATTTTAAAATAATTTAATAGGAATGCGATATAACTATTAGGTAAGGACGGTATCTTTTGCGTAAAAAGTGAAGAAAATGAGAACGAAATTCTGAATGTGGTAAAATCGAGCAGGCGGGGAAAATGCGATAAAAAACTATGGAACGCACAGAAATGAAGAAACCGCGAAATACGACCCTAAAAGACGGTCGTCGTCCACACGCGAGCGAGTGAGGAATCGCGATAAGAACGAGATGAAGCAGATGACACGGGGAGATTCCTCCTTCTTGGCCCCCTTACACGCCCTATCCGTGCATGTGCTTGCACACACGAGACTTCCCTGACGAGATATAGACTCGTGTATGCCAGTGATCCACGTATCCAAGGCATCCCGAGCGGCATTATGCAACTTTGGCACAACGTCTTTTGAACTTGATTTGGTTTTGGGGAACTAAAATTGAGGGTCGGACTGGCCCACCGGGATAACGGCCCCCCCCCCCCCCCCCCCCCAGACCAAAGGGATCCATCACCAGGTCCCCCCGGAAGACCCCCCCCCCCCCCCCCCCCCACCCCCCCAGACCAAAGGGATCCATCACCAGGTGCGGGAGGCCCTTGGTCTGCATGATGGGGGAGGGGGGACTTCTTTCCAAGGAGGGCTCCCAAGGGCCAGTCCGACTAAACCGAAGATGGAGGAGCGAAAAGTGACACACTCCCGCTCAGGGTACTCAAAGTTCAGTCAGATAAAGATAACCTATTGGTTTCGAGATATCTAATTTTGAAACTAATGAGCAGAGTAATCCAAACGAGATGACTTGGCTACTCGGTCTACTCCTATTCTTGTGCTAAGACGAACTACGAATGGCAGTATTTGGAGTTAAATGTAAGGGATAAAGTAATGCCTGGAGAGTCAGAATACTGGAAGTACATAAAAATGCGACGGTAGTGACTCATGAGAACCCCTCAAAGTTTTGTCTCGACGACAGAAGTCTGTCGGTCACGACCACCTGCGAAACCGAAGTGTCGGGAAAGTGAAAGCAAACCTAGGGTACCCACCCGGACTCGGCATTTTTTGCATCGGAAGTATTTTTTCTCCCAGTTATCATCGAACACTGGAAACCACACACCGAGAAAGGGCTTTTCGAAAGGGCTTCTTTAAAATAAGACCCACGAGCCCCCCCCCCCCCCCCAAAAAAAAAAAAAAAAAAAAANCTCCCCCCCCCCCCCCCCAAAAAAAAAAAAAAAATATGAAAGACGGACAGACCTGGGCACATCCTATTGCGAACGGCACCGAAGAGAATGGTCCCGATGACGGGTCCTCCACGCGAATGAATGCGTGCACGGTCGAGCGAGACTTTTTATTCCTCTCTAAAATGCAACCTACTTTCTCATCGCATCTCGACGAACGGATGCGACGGGATCGAAGGCGATCGACGCCGCCACGAAGTGTCTCGATCACGAACGACGTGACCTTTCCTGCACTTTCGGTTTTCCCCTCTCGGTCGCATTGTTTCTGGCCGATTTCTCAAGTGGGTTTCCTCCGATCGGCAGCGAAGTGGAAATCCTCGGTCCCGAACGTACGTGACGGCATCGGTCATCGCCTCGGAACGCGCCGCCGAAAATACTTTCTCGAGACTCTTTTCTCTTAAATTTTCGCACTCTCATTTTTTTTTTTCAGTACGTTGCATGTTGCGTCTCGCTTCGGTGCTATGGTGACCCCCTTAATTTCGCATACTTGATTTGTATTCTTTTCATCCTCTTTGGAGATAATTTAATTGCTTCGATCCCCATCCGGTTCACGGCCTTCAGCGGGTTCTTCAGCGGGTTCTTCAGCGGCCTTCGAAGCCATCATCATCAGACTAGGCCCCTGCCAGGAATCCTCACGAAAAAATTCGGTGGAAAATTAAAAATGACCCCTTCTTGAGCAACCATTCGGGGCAGGAAAAAAATGCTCTAAAAATGTTAATTCGAGCTTTTCCCTTGCTTCTCTATTCCTAATAGCCTTGTTACCTTAAAACCCTTTCAAAGGCTTTCCATCCTTTCCCCCCCATATTTTTCACTTTGTAATGCAATGGCCTTGTAACGGGTAGCCTCTCCACCCTCGACCTAAAAACAGCGCAATTATAAGTGATAATAGGCATTCCGACTAAGTAGGCCCAACGCAATTAAGACATTTGATTGGTCCGAGAGGGCCTACGGGCGAGGTCGCGGATCCCCCGGAACGCCGTGCTGACCTCGATGACGTCCGGCGGATCTCCAGCGGTCGTCCGTCTCCTCCCGGGCGCGTTCATTTTCTCGGCGATCGTCGGCTCGAATCTCTTGTCGTCGCACGACACGACGACGTGCCGTTCCGCGCGAATGGAAGAGTCGGGCGCCGACATTTAAGTCGTCGTCGACGAAATTTAGATTGTGGACTCGTTAGGTCGACAACAAGTTCGACATCGGCTGGCGAGGAAATTCGATGGATCTCGAAGGAATCTCATCTCTCTCGCCTGCGAGAAATCGTGGATTTGATCGACGACGGGAAGCGGGCGTGGCTCGCTCGAAGATGGAGACGGGCTCGTCGAGAACGGTTCGTTTTCAAATCGGAGAGGAATGGCTCCGAAGAAAGGGAACCGGGGACCGTGGGAAATTAGCAAAATTAGGCGGTGTGCATCGGCGGGTTCACTTTCCCTCTTGGGAGATTTCTGGGGTCTCAGTCTATGCGTATCGGAAGACGTGACGAGAGGGGATCGTCCGTTTAAAAAGGGCGGGGAACGCGATTAATGTCTTCGGAAGTCTGTCGCCCCGAAACTTGGGTGAAAGTACGGCGGACCGTCGAGTTTTCGTACCTTTCTGGTCGGAAATTTATGCGAATTTCCTAAGAAGTTAGGAAGAAGAGAAAAACGCGAAAGAAAAATGAGAACATGGGAGCCCTAAAACATCGAAGCCTGAAGTGACCTGCCCGTATTCAATAGGGTGCGCGATCACAATGGAAGCTGGGAAAGCCCGTCGACCGTGGAGGAAGAGGAAAGACTAAAT